TCTTTGTTTACCTGCGTATCTCTGACGTCAAGTGTAATTCGGGTCTGCTCAATGTGGCGGCTGATGCACTTTCGCTTTGCTTAGATTTTAAATCATGTCACAATGGCAAACTTCCAGTTGGTGAGACGATACGTACAATACGTGGGTCAGGCAATATGCGTAGTGTTGCTGAACACTCGGAGAGCAATGCTTTATTTTGCTCAAGTCTCGCTTTATTGATGCGTTTGTTGTACACCTGTACCGCTGTAAATTTTGTCAAAGCTGGTGGTTCTGACAGTAGCAACATATGTCGCTTCACCCAGTCCGTATTTGTAGTGCCTCCTTTGCAAAAGCCAAACGTGAGAGCAAATTTATGTGCTCAAACCCATAGGTTGGAGACCGCCGATGTGACCCACTGATGCTCTGTGTGCAAAATGGCCGCAATAATGATCATCACAGCATCTCTTTACCAGAGCTAAAAAACTGTAAATTCTGATCTCGATGGTCTCGATGCTTAACGTGAGCGCCACACGGCGGTAAAACCGATTTTTTCCGACTGTAAAGATTCCACTACTTTAGCATTTACTAATACATATGGGAAGCCTTAAAATTGCCTCGTAAACTAAATTCTGTTTAATATTATCATTTACTAAAAATCAGGTCTATGTTAGCCACACATCAGGATGCTTTAATGTAATTATCTGATGGTGATCTCTACCAAAACCACTTATATAACACAACACGAGTGTATTCCTGTCTCTCGTTGACATATGATGTACTTTAAGTACTACTACTCATAAGTAGAATAAATGTAACTCTCCTACTAAATTCTCTTGCGGAACTACTCCGTTGCATAATGTGTATACTGAGGTGCTTCGCCTGCGCATTCTCGTGGCATATGTACGCCTTTAGGCTAGCAATATTACCACTTTCGTTCCTTAAATGGACAAATGCCCTATACGGAAGAATCAACCGGATACATGAGCTTACCAAGTGCATTAAGTTGTCACGGTTACAGATAACTACTAAGCTCGTGTTCTATCTTTGCTGAGAAAACGTATCAATCATCGAGTTGACAACAGGTGCAACGAGCATAATATGGAGGAAGCTTTGCCTAGAACACACGCACAAAGGATAGGCACAAACGCTCCACCCCAGAGCAGACCGATTAAATATTTAGCTGTATTTCTCGGCGATTTTAAAGCGGCCACTTACAATAGTATTATGTATTTTACAGTACTGCAACTCATGTATCTAGGTGCTTTTTGTAAGAGTGTCCCATATCTGGTAGCATTGGCAACTACATGATGAATCTGCTCTTTTTTTCTACGATACGATTCTGAGTAATGCATAGCATGAGAATTGCTGGCCACGCATCTAATGAACCACTCCATACCCCACATCCGTACCAATATTTGTTAAGACACTTTTAACATGATGTCATACTTTTGGTAGAGCTTGGCTTTATGTCTGGTGTAGAAATCGGATAGTGTAACGGGGGGTTTCACGTGCCCTGGTATGAAGGGTGTGGGTCAAACAAGATGGTGATCACGCAATGGTGTAGTTTACACAAGATGATGTGACCACAAAATGGTGTGGATACAATCAAAACGTGGCTGGAACAACCAGTGGTTATACATTTAATTAGATTTATCTGTATAGATAGGAAAACCTATAGATTATTATATAGGCGGCTTTGCTGAAAATAAAACCAAGAAACACATCTCACGTTTTAAACGGAAGAGTTAATTAGCCTTGGGTTAAGGTTGTAATCGCTCTTGGGCTAAGTGGATTGCGATTCGCTACACTCGTACTGGTTTTAAGTATAGAACAAGGGTCACCAACCTAAACCAAGCCTCCTCTAAGCGAAAGAGCTACGGCGGCCTCGCTGCAGAAAGTGCAATGTCTCTAATCATTAATACGGCATGTTCTTCGTTAATGTTGAGAGTAGACCTTTATTGGAGTTTCTCATGGTGACGTTAGCACTGGGTCAACTTGTAACCAAAATTGTTAGTCGTGTTCTGGTAGGCACCCAGCATATTGTGTGGCTGAGAAGAAGAGTCTCGACTCCCTTGTTTGTCTTAGAATGAAAGACCGAGATTTTGATCTCCATCGAGACTCGTCTGTCTAGCAGCTTAATTTTCAAATTACCATGTTCTACTCAAGTGACTCAACCGATTGCCTCTGCAGGTGTTGTGGGAACAACGCATCAGCCGGAGTATATATGTTTATATACCACGTACTGATTTGGTAGTCTCTACTCTTTGTCTTCGTAAACAATGTCATTAGAGCATTACTTATCGAGATACTCCGGTCTAAGTCAAGAATGTGGTTCAATCAGTAGGTCTTCTCCTGCAACATCATCTGCCCAAAGATTCACACAGCACGCAAAGATCCATTCAAATGGGCGTACACAGCACCTGGCTTGCTAGCAGCGGGAGGACATAAATGGGAGGACATTGAAATGAGCCAAGAAACTATCAGTTCTGATTCGGTTACGTTTTCGGTACAGAGGACATATCTAGCCCAGACAAAAACCAGCACCATGCGAGCAATATCGCGCCATGTTCATACTTTTTTGGGGCTAGCTCTCAGAAGAAAATCTCGAAAAACGTACACACGAAAGATTGTTTATGACGAGCTCAACCAACTAGTCATTTGTCGAAAAATCCTTCTAAGATCATTTATTTGAACGATATTCAAAGCAGGAGACGCATTTTTGTTGGTACATCATATGATTTCGTCAATGTTGACGCTACACTCGAAAGTGTGATGCTATGAAAGCAAACGTTATCAAACTTTTCTTTGAGTCTTTCACGCGTATCAGGTGGCTAATCCTCAATACATCACAGATCTAATTACTGATTGACGACTAGAGTCCGACCGGATGCTTGAGAAATCGAGTACTTGCCGTTCCAAACTTTTTTTTCGACGGATACTTAAACTATCTTAGCCTTTACGTCATCTAAGTATATATATATAAGCTTTGGAATATGCTTCGATTAAATTCTTATCATGTTTCAAACATCAGTTCCTATCAAGATCTAAATCAGTTTTAAGATATTAGGTAAAACTGTCGGTACTAAGTCGCAAATCCTACAGTTTTAACAAGTTTTGGCTCTACTGTCACCTAATAAAAAAAGCTCGTAGCTTTAAATGCCTTGAGCTAAAGATGATAATTTGCAAGACTGTATGGCGACGACTGAATAATGCCTGCATATCGACTGGTTTAATACCAATGACAACACCCAAACCAATATTCAAGACTGTAATGAGTCAATGCAGCTCAATCTACTTACATTCCAGGGCAAGATGTTAGATTACAATTCTAAACATCCAAAGCAAACAGAATCTGGTTTAAGGAAAGTATTTATCGTTATATCAGGTATTCTTTTCACACGTACGATAGCCTTATACTTGTAAGAAGAACTAGCTACAATTAGCCGCAGTCGAGATTTCAGTTGACACGGACACACCGCTGATGGATATAACGTCCTGTTTCTCGTTCATCTTGGCTTCCGTACCGTCCGGAAACAGGGTCAGCAGACCAAAGTGGAACTCAATGTCATCCGGAAGATCCGACTCATACGAATGGGTGGTCTTGTGTTCAAGGTCATTGTTGCCCTCGCTCATGTACATATCGACAACATGACCCTTGCCCAAGGGGCCAGCCTTAAGTGCAACGCCAAAGTTATACCACGTGCCGTACACGAACGTGGTGTTCCACCTCGGCACCCAACCTGGAGCCTCCCAAGTAGCACCGTTTACATAGGTGAGCATGGGTGGACAAACCGACGCATCCACTCGAAAATCAAAGTGATGAAGCTCGTCCAGAACCATCTCCCAGGGGTATGGGTTCAAGAATGGTTCTTCTTTCATTAAGCTGAAGCGAAAGAAGGTTATGCCTGCTTTATTGGTCGCGATAAATTGCGCCAGTTCTGTGCGACGAAAGTTAAATTGCGACTTGAAAATTGCATTTCCATCAACTCCAATTTTGAAGACGCCCGTGTCACCATTGTACGCAGGGGTTCGACACTTTGGATCAATCGTCAGATAATCTTTGACCGTCAAAGCGCTGTTGTTGCGCATAGTGAAGATGTGCGTCGAGTACTTGTTTGAAACCGTTTCGATGGTGACGTCTTGAGCACGGCCATCAAAAGGAAGTGGCTTGGCATTATGTTGAGCTTGAGCTACAGAATAGCTCGACAACAGAGCTACAGCAGTCATAGTTGCAGCGAAGGTGACCATGATGTTAATTTGAAGATGCCGGTCTGCGTCGTTGGAGGTAGATTGGAAAATGATTGACGAACTGATACTACTACTTCCATGAGTCAGGCTGCAACTTCGATCACAATCAACACGCCGAGGAATGGGATTGTTATATTCCAACAAATCCTCTGTAGATTTGTCTCAACTTACATGATCGCACATTTTTACGTCAAAATCTCAAGATGGGATAAACGTGTCGAAGTTGGAAAAGTTCATTAAGCTGTGCAGTTCCACATCATATGATCAAGCACATTGGAGAAGGTTCAGACTCAAGAGGAGTGATACTGTGGATTTAATGATTAACAGAGCACTTTTTCTCGCTTTAGATCTAAGCTTATTAAGATCATTGATCAGAAGATCACGTTAATCAGTGTACCGTCAGCCCTTTCAGCAAAAACATGATGTTATTGCACAAAATTGAAAAAGATGTGCGGCAAGCAGATGTTAATCTTCTTGCTGGGACTGAAATTAGATGGTACGAAAGCGATGTTATTCGCTTTCAGCATCTAGCGCTAGCTATTTGTGAGCGAGAAGCAATGAACAACGTTATAAATTTCTAGAATTGATCTGTTGCAGATATCAACTCTATCTTTATAAAGTAAAGCTATCTCTTCATCAGTATTTTGTTGAATGTCGATCCTGCTCCGTTGTCATCACGTGGAGGTGGATCCTGAAGCTTATCTCGAAAATATTCTTCAAGTGATTCACAATTGACGACATTAATATATGTACATTGTGCGAAAATGGTTTGATTATTTGCTACAGCCAAGATATCTACCCAGATCAAGGCATGAAAGCGTTGTGATGTCCCTTAGTGTTATGTAGTTTTACGAAATATGCTATCGTATTGGTAAAATTTCGTCATTCCTATGTTTTGCTCGTTGTCATATCGGGCTGTACTGTACTGTGTACTATGTACAGTACATACAAATCTTATAATTAAAGTAACAAGTTGCAAATGTCTATTGATATCATTATAATTTTGCGAACCAGATATAAATTTTGACTTAGAAAATAATTTTCTTGAAGAAATATGACATTCGAGCATATCAAGTCGAATAAATATTATTTGAGGTATTCTTTTTGCATGTAATCACTTTGAGAGAAACACTGATTATCTTCAAGGTCACGTTCGCGATCGCTTCTAATCTGTATGCAACAAAAAGAGCAGCTTAATATCTTATATCAATGAAGGAAAATGAGTGATTCTAATCCCCACAAATTTTGGACACAAAGCAGCTGCTGTCGAAGTTTGCCAAGTTGTTGAGCTCGAAGATAAACCGATTTGAGTCCTGATCTTCGTGGCTTTCTCGGGATCAACACATGTTTTTCTCCTGGATATCAAAATACTGTCCCTCGATAGAATTTTATTACTTGAAGTTTGGAGTGTCTTATTAACATAATCATGTAATTATTGGACTATCGTATGGCTTGAGGTCAAGCACGTCACTCCAACATCGCACTACTTAGCATTACCTATCTTAAAACATGATCAAAAGAGCAAACATATAAAATGTATCCCATGCATATAAAAGTACCAGGAGTGAATGACTCCACAAACATCAATACAGTACTAGATAGCTTAGTTCTTATAAATTACAACAGTTATTAGTAGACGTGAAATATTAATGACTTATATATCTTAAAATATAGTTATTACGAATGTCGTAGCAATATTCAGGAAATGATTTGACCAAGCTTGTTACATATTTACATTCAAAAAGCTGAGGATTCTTCATGTTGCGATGACCAAAAGCGGGGATGAAGAACATCAGTCATCACAGAGTCTGGTGTTCATAAGTGCCTTATTGCAATAAACCCTTTAAAAAAAAATTTACGTCATCTTTGAGTCAATACAAAGTATTCTGCTAATCATTCAAGTCGAAGTCTCGTATTTCTTGAATCCTTACGTCTTCTGGAGTGCATAAACATATAATGTGAACTCACAACCTGACGCTCATTCATTCAAGCTTAAAAACCTCCAAGCATTGGACTTATCTTAGGATTCTGACGTCAACTTGAGAAATTTAACAAGTTGAGAAAAAATGCAGAAGGGCCATTGGTGCTTCTTGGTTGTACTTGAAGGTATCGATTGACTCATGGGCTTCGTTAAATTATTTTCCAATCTACCTCCAACGACGCAGACCAGCATCTTCAAATTAGCATCATGGTCATCTTCGCTGCAACTATGACTGCTGTAGCCCTGTTGTCGAGCTATTCTGTAGCTCAGGCTCAACATGTTGCCAAGCCACTTCCTTTTGATGGCCGTGCTCAAGACGTGAACCTCGAAACGGTCTCAAACAAGTACTCGACGCACATCTTCACTATGCGCAACAACAGCGCTTTGACGGTCAAAGATTATCTGACGATTGATCCAAACTGTCGAAACCCTGCGTACAATGGTGACACGGGCGTCTTCAAAATCGGAGTTGACGGAAATGCAATTTTCAAGTCGCAATTTAACTTTCGTCGCACAGAATTGGCGCAATTTATCGAAACCAATAAAGCTGGCGTAACCTTCTTTCGCTTTAGTATAATGAAAGAAGAGCCTTTCATCAACTTATACGCCTGGGAGATGGTTTTCGATGAGCATCATTACTTTGATTTTCGAGTGGAGACGAAGTTCAATCCACCCGTGATCTCTTATGTAAACAGTGGTACTTTCGAGTATCCAGGGTGGGTGTCGAGATGGAACACCACGTTCGTGTACGGCTCGTGGTACAACTTTGGCGTGGCACTTCAGGCTGGCCCGTCAGGAAAGGGTCATGTAATTGATATGTACATGAGCGAGGGCAATAATGATCTTGAACACAAGACCACTCATTCGTATGAGGTGGATCTTCCGGACGACATTGAATTCCACTTAGGTCTGTTTACAGTGGCGTTGGATGGTAGTCAGCCCCAGATGAACGAGAAACAAGACGTTATATCCATCAGCGGTGTGTCCGTGTCAAATGAAATATCGACTGCGGCTACTTGCAGCTAAATGCAAGCATTTTAAGACTATCGTACGTGCGCTAAAGTGCCCAAAACGAGATTTCTGCTTTTTACTCTGGTTAGGCTGCAGTACAATCAAATGACGATTAACCTTTTGAATCTAAATTTTGTTTGCTTCGGTCGCTCACTTGAATATCAGTCATATACCTGAATTTTTGTTTGAAGTAAGTTGTTAGAGCTGCATCGACCCACATTATGGTGGCGAACATTGTCAAGGATGCTAATCCAGCTGACATTAACGTAGATCAGGCATTCGCCAATCATAGCCATAAAATCTTGCAGCAATCATCTTTAGTGCTCAAAACGTTGTAAGCTCGACAACATGTAGATCTATCCTATAACGAGAAGAATCGCATAATATCTTGTGTCGATATGTGAAGGTGTGCGGATCACTATATCCCCATATGATCACTAATCTTAGACACAAAGCTACTCACTTAAAGCAGCTTATGTCGACTTAGATCAAGGGAAAAAGATCGTAGACAATGAACACTCAGTCATAGCTTTTCTCGAAATGACACGCCTGAAATCTCGCAATTACAATTTAGTTTTCGTCTTAATTATGCGCCATAACATATCGAATTAGTGTAGGATTTGCGACTGCGCACCAACAATGTTGAGATTACACTCAGTGCCACAACCGTTCCTGTGCTCGTAATTTCTGTCCATTGCTACTCTTCTTTGAACCTTCTCGTTGTTGTCTGACACCTACTGCTGACTGCAGCTGGTTGAGTGACCGTAAGAACTTCCAATCAAGGGGTTTACAACCTGCGAGGTTCTAAGTTAGTGGACTTGCAGCTGTGTTGCGCCGTGTATTACACTGGTGAATGAGGGATACGGTCACGGTCACAGTTACTGTTACTGTCACTGTCATGTTTATGCATATTGATTACAGACATAATGGTAGTCGCCCATTTCTAGCTGGATGAGTCAGGTTACAATCAGTAAGTAGGCTCAGAGGCAGCACAGGTAGCGAACTATAAATTATATCTCTTTCGGATTTTGCCATCTCTTCTATATTTTAGCTACCACAACCATGCCTCGCTTGATGACACCATGATCGCCGAGGCTACCAAACACACCAAAGCCTTCCCGGAGAATGGTATCTACTACCATTAGAAGTTTAACAGGAGAACGACTCTTGCAAGAAAAGAGCTACCGGGTAGCGTCACGGCTGCAAGCGATGAAAGCGACATTACGGAGACGTGGCTTGTGAATAATGCCTAATCATTAGGTAACATTGCCCAAGCGTCTAAATTGAGCACCAGATCAAAATTTGGTTCGCTACTCGTTCTTTGGAGGCGTGGAGAACGCTTCACGATTTCTACGAACGCTTCACTCTGCACAACCGTGTCACGATGATACGTCGCCTTCATATGGTGGTACCTCTCTGCAGCCAGCCGTCGGAGTACGAGCCGACTTCTTCTATCATAGCACCCTCCAAGGAAATCACGATCATTGAAGTCAACTGAACCTGTTTTAGGAGCCTAAGAAGTAAATTTGTTGCTGATGAAGGGATCCAATCAAAAGGCGTTTTGCGCTGCTAAAAAGAAGGAGCGCGAGGAAGCGATCGCAGGAGCTACGCTCCACGAAGGGATCGTGGTTTTAAGAAAAAGTGTCGCAAAATGGGTCACGTGAAATGGGACTGCCCGGTTTCTAGAAATCGTGCCGACCGGATCGATGTGGTACTTGCTGTGGGTGAGGATCGTTCAGCCGATTGGCCAATTTGACAGCAGCGCAACGTTGCAAATAACCCCGCAATGGAGTGGCATGATCAATAATAAGCGTTTGAGATCTAACAGCGAGGTAACAATTGCAGACAGCAGAAAACCAAGCGCTGAAGGAATTGGAACGGTGAGACTTATCGGATTAGTCGGAAGACGCATATCCATGATTGAGGTGCTGCTTATCCCGGACTTGACAGACATCCACTGGCAGCAAAAAAGCTTGCCTCACCTGATTAATTGTGGAAATTCAGCCTGCATCATGTACCAATAAGGACAAGAACTGCGCTTTGGCAACCGGGACAAGAGAAAATAAAGCTTATAAGCCGGGATGTCAGCAAAAGGTTGCACGTGACCAAATCGACGATGAAGGCACAGCATTCGGCCTAAAGCAAGCATAATCAGGATGGGTCGATGGATTGTGGAGTAAAGAAATCGTGCCAGACTTTTAAATGGAGAAGACGCCCGATATGAATCATCACAGGGTTGAGATGCTCCAACTACTATCCTTTGTGCGTTCCGAACTGACACCGTACAGAGCTTCCGCACAAGATGTACCAGAAGATAAATTAGTATACCAAGCCCCCGCAGAATCGTCGGAAAAAGATAGGTTTATGTTCCAATCTCAATTTGAGCGCCCAGGGTGTGCGCGCGGACCGATGTTGATATTAGAGAACGATCAAATGACAAAAAAAAGTCTGAAAAGAAGGACGGCCCATCATCCCCAAAGCGTACAAGGAGAGACGAGACCGGCTTTATAGCCGAATAGTTCTCTCTTGCGCCGTAAGCATTGGTGAGATTTCAGGCATGCCTGTCATATACGTGCTATTAATGGCTGATGACAAGGCAAAACAGTGGCGCAAGGCGATGGACGTTGACTTACTATCACATAACAAGAATAAGACATGGGCGCTCGGTCCACAGGGATCTATTGAACGTAAGATTGGATGCCGTTGGGTCTTTGTTAAGAACCGGAACCAGAATGGTAGGGTGGTGCGTTACCAGACACGTTAGATGACGAAGGTTCTTATGTAGAAGAACGGTATGTACTTTTCGAGACTTACTCTACAGTGGCCAGCATGAACTCAATTCAGGCATTTCGAGCAGCTTGTGTGGTTACAAACTAGATAGTGGAGCAGCTAGACTTCGACACCTTCTTTCTCAGCAGTATCGTGTTTACACGGAAATTTTGTCGGGTGTCAAGGTAGATCAAGTCTTTTCATGCCAGCTGAACAAGGCAATATCGGAACTCAAACAAGCTGCGAGTGCGTGGAACAAGACGGCTGGTTATGTCCTCATGGCGAGAGTATAGGGATCAAGTGGGAATCAAAGAGTGTTTTCAAGATGTAGGATTTTAGCATGGTAATTTTATCGTGGGTATAGCGATCGACCACAAAATGACAGCGGCAAGCTAATGATCAAACAGGCACGCTACATCGACACCATTGTCGAGCAATTTGGCCAGAAAAGTGCCAAGGTCGTCGACAATCCGTGTGCGTCCAGTCTCAAACTGTCAACATCGCAGTCATCAAGTACAGAAGCCGGGTGTCCTAAGATGCGCTCGAGACCATACCTCTTCAATTGCTTGTATGATAAATATTACAACATGCTCTCATCCGGATACCGTATTTGTCGTCATGCATTTAACTCATGTTCTCAGAAACCCCAGGTTTTGACATAAGACCTTACCGCGGTGGCGTATTCACGTCCAGTAGCTTTTTTAGCGTAAATACGCCTTCCATGGCAAAGGCCTAATCATCACAGACAACATGATATACTTGAAATGTGATTTGAAAAAGCTAAATCACGGCATTCTTGAGGATCTCTCTTGCCTTCCTCTCCCACTCTAACACCATTCGGGATTTACCAAAGAAGGTTAAAGAGCAAGAGTGTCATGTCGACATTGTTTGCTATATACTTGAGTGAGGTAGCCAGGCCAAGTCACTTTTTTAATACCGCATTGGAATACATTCGGGGTCCGCTAGCAGACCA